TATTAGTTTGCCTGTCTTCCCAAGTGATGTGTACCATTTTTTGGAGACACCATTGATGGAATTTTTTGAGGAGTTGGAGATGGCATTTATAAGTGGTCCACGTTTCACAAGCATACAGTCAGGTTAGTAGTACCATAGCTTTGAAATCCCACCACCACCACCAGCAAAAGTACCATAGAATTGTAGAGTTGGAAGGGACTTCAAGGATAATCTAATCCAACCCCCTGCAATGCAGGAATCTCAACTAAAGCATCCATGACAGATGGCCAGAAGCACCACGGTGGTCCATGTTCTGGTAAGCTCCTGATCAGGAACAAAGGAACCTGCTTTATAGTGAGTCAGACTATTGGTCCATCTAGCTTAGTGTTGTCTACACAGACTGGAAGTGATTCTCCAGGGTTTCAGGAGGAGTCTTCTCCAGTTCTACCTGGAGATGCCGGCGACTGAATCCAAGACCTTCTGTGGGCAAATCGGAAGCTCTGCTACTGAGCTATGGCCTTTTCCCAGGACACGTTCTATGAATACTGGCCTTGGATTAATCCTAGGTCTTAGTGCAGTGTTTCTCAAACTTGGGTCCCCAGCTGTTGCTGGACTACAACTCCCATCATCCCTAGCTAGCAGGACCAGTGGTCAGGGATGATGGGAGTTGTAGTCCAATAACAACTGTTTGAGAACCATTGTCTTAGTGTTTCAGGTATTGTCAGGATGCTGTCAGCAGCTCCTGGTTGGTTGCTCAGGAAAGTATAAAGACAAGGAAAAGTTTCTTACAGACCTTTTTTACAGTGGTACCTCGGGTTAAGTACTTAATTCGTTCCGGAGGTCCGTTCTTAACCTGAAACTGTTCTTAACCTGAAGCACCACTTTAGCTAATGGGGCCTCCTGCTGCTGCCGCGCAGCCGGAGCAGGATTTCTGTTCTCATCCTCAAGCAAAGTTCTTAACCTGAAGCACTATTTCTGGGTTAGCGGAGTCTGTAACCTGAAGCGTATGTAACCTGAAGCGTATGTAACCCGAGGTACCACTGTATTTCTGTTTTCACAGAGAAAGGCTATAGAACTCAGCCTCTTGGATAATAATGTTGTCCCAAGTAAATCTCCACCCCCATCTCTCCCACTTCCTCATTCGTCACTTCTACGGGTACTGCTACATGCCCTCTGTCTTTGAGCTCTTTGCTCTCCTACTTTCAAGGCTCACCAGGTTCTGGGAGATGGAGGGTCTGGAATGCTTTCTAATGACAATGTATCAGCCAGGTGTTTTTCCAGCTCTCCCATGATTTCCAAGCTTTCCCCCTTATCTGCCTCTGAGTTGTGACCTCCTTCAAACCCCTGTTGTAAATCTATACTGTCTTCCTCTTCCTCCTCCCTGGAAGAGTCAGGATGGGGAGGTGGGTCTCCACCATTCCTCCTCTGCCCAGTCCCTGACAGGTGTGTTGTTGCAGAATGTTTATGCCTGTGCACAGTTGCATCTTGCTTGATTTGAGCACTCCAGGCCACCATACAAGGAGCAAAGCTCTCATTTGGCAAATGTACGGCACAAGCACAACGAAGATTCGGGCAACGTTACCGTCATCGAAGTTCACCATTGTGAAGAGCGCGGGGCATTTGACGAAGACGACCTCGCCCACAAAGGCAGGCTTCCAACAGGTAATGTTATCCCACATCCCTGGGCATCCTGCGAAAGGGGGGAGAAGGTCAAGTGATTAAAAGCGTTGCAGGCTGAGTCAAGCTGCCCCATTTGCTCTCCATATATGCCAGAGGTGAAGAACCATTCTCAGCCCAAGGACAAACTTCCAGGGCCGCTTACAAATAATGGAAGAGGCAATAGTGGTCAGAGCAATGAATGTAGACCCCACCTTTGTACAGCAAGCTAGTTTCTATACACATTCACAAACTCCTCTCTGTCCTTCACCCAGGAAAGCAAGAGGAATTATCATAGTTCAAGGACACATTCCAGCCAGGCTACAACACTCAAGGAGGATGCAAACCAAGGCCAGCAGGATGTGTGGCTGGGAATGGTGTGCTGCCTAGGGAGAGTCCGAAGGGCCACATAACGAGGGCTTGAAGGGCAAAATTCAGCCACTGGAGCTGCGGTTCTTCCCCACCCCTGTTTTTTACCATTATTTCATTACCCTTTCTCTACTGGCAAAACCCAAGGCTACTAAGAATGATGGGCGGTTTGTTTGCTGAATTTGGAAATCACATTACAATAAAGAACAACAACAATAAAACAAACAATTGCAGGTCTCTCACGTGCTGTGATTACAGTATATTATTTCCATATATCTGGAAAGACGTATCAAGCGCGGAAATCAGGGAAGCAATGAGTAAAACAGCTATATAGATTCTCCAAAGCTCAGGATGGGTCATGGGAGGTCACAAACCCTCGGGAGAAGCATTTAGGAACGTCAGGAATGGAAACTGTACCATGTCAAATTGATTGGATATTCTTTAGCCCCTCGCTTTCTGAGTATCGTGCATTAATCTTTCAATGGGAGTGTGCCACCCAATGCGCCCATACCAATTTGCAGTCGAAAAAACCAGGGGTTTTTCCCCAGCTTCCAGCTATTGTTGATATGGCTGCAACCAAGAGGTAGTGAATAAGGTATTTATGGAGGAGCCAGTGAAAACAGAAATAAGAGTTACAAAGGCTGTGTTGGGACCATCTGGTTCGCCATCCGCTCCATGTGGAAGTGGGAAGTCTGTTCTGAGCATCCCCTCCAGCACTCAGATGATAGGGATGGATTAACATGATTTAATTTTACCAGAGTGAGCTACCGGCAAGTGAATTAGATGCAAGCAGGCAGCCTCGTGGGCAGCAGTACTGAGAAACCCGGGTTTCCTAGCAGCAAGACACTTGACTGTCAGGACACAGTCAGGTAGCTGTCAGTACACGTAGAAGAAAGTCCTTCACACAGCACATAATTAAAGCTTAGAACTTTGGAAGAAGTGAGGGCCACCAATCTACAGGTAGGCGACTTTAAAAGAGGATTAGAGAAATTCATGGAGGAAAGGGCTATCGAAGGCGACTAGCCTTTATGACTACGCTCTGCCTCCACAGACAGCAATGCTTCTGAATACCAGTTGATGTAAACCACAAGACGCCACAAGTTGATGTTCTTAGCTGCAGCCAATCCTGGATCCCTGAGATCCAGTATGTTTCCGAGCACAATTCAAAGTGTTGGTGCTGACCTTTAAAGCCCTAAACCGCCTCGGTCCAGTATACCTGAAGGAGCGTCTCCACCCCCATCGTTCTGCCCGGACTGAGGTCCAGCATCGAAGGCCTTCTGGCGGTTCCCTCCCTGCGAGAAGTGACGTTACAGGGAACCAGACAGAGGGCCTTCTCGGTAGTGGCACCTGCCCTGTGGAATGCCCTCCCACCAGATGTCAAAGAGGAAAACAACTACCAGATTTTTAGAAGACATCTGAAGGCAGCCCTGTTTAGGGAAGCTTTTAATGTTTAATAGGTTATTGTATTTTGATGTTCTGTTGGAAGCCGCCTAGAGTGGCTGGGGAAGCCCAGCCAGATGGGTGGGGTATAAATAATAAATTATTATTATTATTATTATTATTATTATTATTATTAGTGACAATATGCTGGAAATTTCCACTAGGGACTGTGAATGTACATTGATCCCCTCCAATCTGGTGCAACGGAATGGCCTTGATCTGACATGGATCCAGGCCCTGAACTGAATCATGGGCCTTGCACAGTTTTTACTTAGGTGTTTGAAACCCAATTAAAAATGCAGTTGATGGAGGAGAGAGGAGGAGAAGCTGGCCGTCTGCAAAGGGTACTCTCGATCGTAAGCTCATGTATTGCCATGGGTTCTGTGAATAAACTTCTCTATAGAGTAGTCTAATTTCATGCAGAAAAACTGGTATGAAAGCTGGCTATTCTTATCATTACAGATGTTACACAAATGACAAATGTATAGTGTCAAAGAACGCATAGTGAAAACGTACATAATTGCAAACAAAAAGTGTAAAAACAGGTTTCGAGATTGTTCTGGCCTGGGAGTTCTTTGACGCAAGTAAGGCATTTTAAAAAACACATTGCCATAATATCTATTCCCTGGGTGCCTCTTCTTCAATGCATGAGTTTTCCATCAGGGCTATAACATAAAAGACAAGCTTTTGGTGCTACTATTAGAGGGGGGTGGGAATCCCCAGCCTTATTCCTTTATGGCGCTTCTGATCTGCTCTGCCTTATGCATACCAATCCTCCAAAATCCTGGTTTAATTAGGATAATTTTAAAAGTTGCTGCTGGAATGGGAGAGAAAATTGCAATTTGATATGTTCGGTTTGTCGCGGACTGTCTCGCCAGAGTGGTGCATGCTCTGGTTATCTCTCACTTGGACTACTGAAATGTGCTCTACGTGGGGCTACCTTTGAAGGTGACCCAGAAACTACAATTAATCCAGAATGCGGCAGCTAGACTGGTGACTGGGAGCGGCCGCTGAGACCATATAACACTGGTCTTGAGAGACCTACACTGGCTCCCAGTATGTTTCCGAGCACAATTCAAAGTCTTGGTGCTGACCTTTAAAGCCCTAAACGGCCTCGGTCCAGTATACGTGTAGGAGCGTCTCCACCTCCATCGTTCAGCCCGGATGCCGAGGTCCAGCGCCGAGGGCCTTCTGGCGGTTCCCTCGCTGCGAGAAGCCAAGTTACAGTGAACCGGGCAGAGGACCTTCTCAGTGGTGGCGCCCGCCCTGTGGAACGCCCTCCCACCAGATGTCAAAGAGAAAAATAACTACCAAACTTTTAGAAGGCATCTAAAGGCAGCCCTGTTTAGGGAAGCTTTTAATGTTTAATAGGTTATTGTATTTTAGTGTTTTGTTGGAAGCCGCCCAGAGTGGCTGGGGGGACCCAGCCAGATGGTTGGGGTATAAATAATAAATTATTATTATATTATTATTATTATTGCATTCTACCTGCCACCTTCATCAATAATGGGTCCTTGTGTATTGGTGAAACATGTCTGAATAGCAGGAGATTTTCCTGGAGATGCCGGGGATCGAACATGGGACCTTCTGCCTGGAAAGCAGACGCTCTACCACTGAGCTGTGGCCACTTTCTTTATGACCTAAATCTCCTTCTTGGCCCACTGGTAATGGACATGGAATGGCTTGTCAAAACATCCCCACTGACATCCCTGGGACTGACTTCCAGATCGTGCGCACAGAATCAGGTTGTGAGCATGTGTCCCTGTGAGTCAATGGTGCGTTGAACACACGGGGAAAGCGAAGAGGCAGCCAGCGCATTGCGTTTGCACCACATTTCTCTGCCAGCTTTAGGAACAGCGCTTTCTTCTCCCAGGCTCTTATTCATAAAGCTAACCCTTCACAACACAAGTGTGAAAAGAGGCTCCTCTTTCAAGTCCTCTCAATAGCGTCTCAAAAGGTAACGCCGGCGCCAAGTCATTTACATAGCAAAATATTTCACACATGGGAAAATGGGTTTTTGAAAGGATGGGATCTCTCATCTGCAACTGGGAAAGGAGAAACCTTTTATTCTGTCCAAGTTGCTCGCATTATTCCTGGCTGTTGGATAGTTTATTCTGAGCTCATGCATGGAGATGCAGTTTGCTTGTTATTGCTCTTGCTTTTAACAACAACAAAATAGGTAAAGGGTTTAAAACAACAACAACAACACACAACCATGCAGAAGTTTTAATGGCTTCCAGTGCATTGGAGCTAGTTGATCGGGGTAGAAAGGGAAATCACAGAAGTGGATAAAAAACTGGGGTGAGGTTCACTGGATACCAGTCTGATTTTCTTGGCAAATGTAAGACCATAAGAAGAGCATTTCAGATCAGGCCATGATGAAGTAAGGGTAGCGAAAATGCAGCTAAGGAGCTCAAATCATATACAATATGACTAACACCCTTCTTTGGAAATTAAACCAATGACCAGACAACATTCAAAAACTTTTTTTGCAGAAACTTATAGTTGTAGATGAATTAAAACATAATATTTACAGTCACATACATATCGAAACATGGGCTTACAGTCTGTTTTTTTAACTTCCAAGCAACTGTTTTTTCCTCTTTCCAGAGCTCAGCACTCACCCTTCTGTATCTCAGTGAGGCCAGGCTTTGCAGCTTCTATGAGAGATTTCCACATTTCGAAACCTTCTGATCAGCAAGTCCTAGGCTCTGTGGTTTAACCCACAGCGCCACCCACATTCCATGGAGTATTTAGCCACTTGCCAAATGTGGCCACTTGCATTGGTTTCCAAGGCCTGACATGAAAAATCCTGGTTGAGTCATGGCTGAGGGAAAAAGTCAGAGGTGACCAAACTTCATGCCAACAGGTATGGCAGCTTTCCATGTCTGGTTCTGACACTGCCTGAGTCTCTCACGCAGGAAGGGGGCAGACAGAGAGCTGAGAAGATGCGTGGAGAGAAGGTAACATTGAGAAAGGAAAGGTGTTGCTTTCAGGCAAGACTACAAACAGAGCCAGAAACACTGTTTGAAAACAGAGGACACAGGATATATTGGAGACGGCTTTAACTGCAAAGCTTGGCTAATTAAAGCAGGGGCTTGGGAAGGGCGGTGCGAGGAGGCAAGCAGGGCTCTTTTTGGCTCACACAAACTGTTCTCATCTCATCAAGAGCCTGCTCTTGGAACAACATTTACTATTCTCTTTGTGAGTCAGAGCGACTGCTCAGCTGAGTTTCCCAGAGCTGCGGCTTGTGTGCTGCCGTTATACAACACAGGCTTTCCAGAGGTGTTCTTCTGTGTATGAATGAATAAATAAAACACATCCATGTTCTGGACTGGGGAAAGATATGTCATGCAAATCATTTTTCAAAGGCTGTCATATTTCATATCCAGCCGGAGGGTGGGAGGAAATGCAATTTAGGATTCCACTGGCTCAGCGCTGCCACTGATCAAGACCCTTCTGAAATTCCAAGATCAAAATAAGATACCGTCTAATGAATTCCTCTCCAAATACAGGCATATTCTTTCTTGCTTTTTTTAAAAAAGTTGGGTAAATCATTGCATATTTATTTATTTATTGCACTTATAGTCCACCTTTTCTCCAAGAGCTCAAGGTGGTGTACTTCGACCCCCTCTTCTCATTTAATCACCACAACAACCTTGTGAGGTAGGCCATTGTGGTGTAGTGGTTGAGAGTGGTAGTCTAGTAATCTGGGGAACCGGGTTCGCGTCTCCGCTCCTCCACATGCAGCTGCTGGGTGACCTTGGGCCAGTCACACTTCTCTGAAGTCTCTCAGCCTCACTCACCTCACAGAGTGTTTGTTGTGGGGGAGGAAGGGAAAGGAGAATGTTAGCCGCTTTGAGACTCCTTAAGGGGAGTGAAAGGCGGGATATCAAATCCAAACTCTTCTTCTTCTTCTTCATAGCTGCGTGGGGATTTGAACCCAGGTCCAAGTCTGACACTCTAACCACTACACCACACTGGCTTGTATATGTTGAGGTGGTGCCCTTAGTACGGCAGTAGAGCACATGCTTTGTAGGAAGAATGTCCCAGGTTTACTCCCAGGCATTTCCAATTAAAAGAGTCTCAGGTAGCAGGACAGGGAATGTCTCCTGCCAAGCATAGCCAAGGCATAAAGGTAAAGGGTAAAGGGACCCCTGACCGTTAGGTCCAGTCGTGGCCGACTCTGGGGTTGCGGCGCTCATCTCGCTTTATTGGCTGAGGGAGCCAGTGTACAGCTTCCGGGTCATGTGGCCAGCATGACTAAGCCACTTCTGGCGAACCAGAGTAGCGCACGGAAACGCCGTTTACCTTCCCGCTGGAGCGGTACCTATTTATCTACTTGCACTTTGATGTGCTTTCGAACTGCTAGGTTGGCAGGAGCAGGGACGGAGCAACGGGAGCTCACTCCGTCACAGGGATTTGAACGGCTGACCTTCTGATCGGCAAGTCCCAGGCTCTGTGGTTTAACCCACAGCGCCACCCGTGTCCCTACTCATATGCATGGTAGGCACCATAAGAACCACCCCTAATTTCCTTCCCATATGGGAGGAAAGGTTTCTCCTAAGCTGGCGGCTGCAGCGATGCATTCATCCATCACCGAAAAGCACTGTGCTTTGTATTTTTTACCAGTATGCAGATTTAATTGACTGTGGAATCGATTCCAGCTCTTACAATTAATTGGTTTAAGTGGTTGAGTTTTAAGCTCTTCAGAAGCCAAAGAGGGTAGGCGGCCGGATGGTGGTGGTTGGTGAGAATAATGGCATCTCCCCTGTGTGCTACGCATTTATATTTTTGGCAACAACCAAAAAAGGACCCCGAGGAGAAGGATAGCACCAGAGCAGTTTGCTCTGGGCACAGTCTCCATTGGCCAGAAGGGCATTTCAGAAGCACATTCACTGAGCCAGTGTGGCATAGTGGTTAGAGTGTCAGACTAGGACCTGAGAGATCAGGGTTCAAATCCCCACTTGGCCATGAAGCTGACTGGGTGACCTTAGACCAGTCACTGCCTTTTGGCCTCACCTACCTCACAGGGTTGTGAAGATGAAATGAGGAGGGGGAGAACCTTGTGAACCACCTCGAGCTCTTGAAAGGTGGGATATAAATGCAATAGGTAAATGAGCAGAGAGCAGTCCCCATGGTAATGTGATTACCGACTCCACCCCCTGACAGCCACATGTTCACTAGGAGCTGTGGATTGAGACCCTGCGTGTGCAAATGTGCACAGAAAACTCCTCAGCACAGACAGGAACCCAAATTACATAGGGTTCCAGATTGCACGGTGAAGATGTTGTCCACAGAGAAGCTCTCCATCTTGGCCACATGGAGGGCAAAGATGGTGGGGCTGGTGGGCAAAAAACCCTGCCCGTTCAATGAACAACTGGAGGTTACTTCTGAAAGTGGTCAGAGACTGTGCCTCTGGGTCCTTGTCTGCTTCTGCAACTGCTTGAAATCCATAGGGGAAGCTGGTACCACCACATCACAATTCAAAGTCAAGCAGAGAGCATTCAGGACCCCGGACAGCTCCAGTGCCTTCCGCTGAAACAGCTAGGAGAGACATTGTCTCAGCTGGGAGCAAATTCCACCTGTTGTCTACATGGGGCTACCTTTGAAGGTGACCCGGAAACTACAACTAATCCAGAATGCGGCAGCTAGACTGGTGACTGGGGGCAGCCGCCGAGACCACATAGCACCGGTCTTGAAAGACCTACATTGGCTCCCAGTACGTTTCCGAGCACAATTCAAAGTGTTGGTGTTAACCTTTAAAGGTCTAAATGGCCTCAGTCCAGTATACCTGAAGGAGCGTCTCCACCTCCATCGTTCTGCCCAGACACTGAGGTCCAGCGCCGAGGGCCTTTTGGCGGTTCCCTCATTGCGAGAAGCAAAGCTACAGGGAACCAGGCAGAGGGTCTTCTTGGTAGTGGCGCCCGCCCTGTGGAACGCCCTCCCATCAGATGTCAAAGCGATAAACAACTACCCGACATCCAGAAGACATCTTAAGGCAGCCCTGTTCAGGGAAGTTTTTAACGTGTGACATTTTAGTGTGTTTTTGGTTTATTGTTGGAAGCTGCCCAGAGTGGCTGGGGAAACCCAGCCAAATGGGCGGGGTACAAATAATAAATTGTTATTATTATTATTATTATGTAGTACGGCATCGTCTGTCTCAATGGATGAGCTCGTTGGCTCTCATCTCACCTTATTTTTGAAGCGTTTGGCTTCTGCAATGCCGGGGAGACGAGAGGATAGTGACACAAGAATGTAAGAAGAGTCGACTAGATCAGCCCAATGGCTCATCTAGTTCAGCACCTTGTTCTCATAGGGGATGATCAGATGCTTCAATGGCAAAACAGCAAGCAGGACCCAAACACAAGAGCGGCTTCTCCTCCTGTGGTTTCCAGAAGCATTGAAGATGACTCAGAAACTTCAGTTGGTTCAAGATGCAGTGGACGTATTATTGGCTGGAGTTCCTTTCAGATCTTCCCAAACCCCTGTTTAAACATAGCTGCCTTGGTTGCCGGTCCATTTCTGGGCCCAGTTGAAGATGTTGATCTAAATGCCCCCAAATGCCTCTGGCCTCAGATCCCTGTTGGACCGCCCTCTTTCCTGCAGACCCTCTTGGCTGCTAA